AGTGTGAATGTCAATGTTTTTTTTAAATGTATTTTACATTTTAAATTACAAATGACTCCCAAAAAAGAAATACAGGCAAAAACAGCAACACCATTATAAATTATCCTGACTATAATATAGATAGCATATCTAGTACTCAATGTTAATAAAGCTATATTAATTACATTGCATTTGAGGTTACTATTATTTATGTATTTATGTTTTTTTTAAAATTTATTATTGTTAATTAATACAGTCTTCATTATAAAAAAAATATTTCAAATGCATAATATAGCTAACTAGTCCAACCTTGGGCCCCAGATATTACCATTTTAACTTGGAGACCAGAAGCATAAAGTGTTCTTATTTATTGTAACCATTAGCAGCAAAGGGGCAGCAGGTCATTCGATAAAAGAAATTACAAACATAGAATAGTAATGTGAGAATTAAGTGTTTCTCTGTGTTGTTAGTATCCAAAACTATCTTTTACACAAGTAAACATAAGATACAGCTTACCAAAAGGTCTCTAAAGGGGAACTGTTATATCCCAGGATTCTTAACATTGCATTCGATTATCCCCTACATATAACAAATATGTGTTTGTGAAGCTTGAAAAATAAAATTAAATGCAGAAATCCATACATCTCTATTCTGGATCTAAGCATCTTCATCTTGGCTACCTGTCAATCATATTTATAAATTCATCCATTTTCTGTCATCGAACTTAGTATGTGAAGATGGAGAAAAGAATCAATGTTTCTGTAACTCTTCCTACAATTAATGCCCAGGCTATGTGTGGGTTTAATAGGGATGTGATGGGTTTAATATACATTAAACGAAAACAGAGCATCACATGTATAAAAGGTTAACACAATTTATAGGTGATTTTGTATTCAATTGTATAATTTCTAAAGAAGTCATGATTTCCCTTTAAATATAAAAAAGCATGTATAACCAAATTCCCTTTCCTCATCTATATTTTGTAGAGAGCTGTCCACAACATATGCTTTCTTTAACCCGACTGAAGTTGGGTTACAGAACAAATTCTGTGAAATATGTAACATTCATTTAGTTAAATTCCTTTCTGTGTTGTTAATTGGTTTTGGGGACAACTAAAATAATTACAAGAGCAATGTTAATTCTAGGGCAACTCATTACAGATGACACAAGTTTCTCTGTAGGAGAAGGCTACCCAGTCCACCTCATATTGAAAGTGAGAGATGGAAAGTTGCTGATGGACCCATGGTTAGATGGAAATCAGCCACAGGTTGGCAATAGAAAAGTCATAACTTTATGACCATCATAACTTTATTCAGTTGCATATTTTGCAGCTGTTTTTATGTATTTTATGTGATAATAATGATGATTATCTAGCTGTTTGATTAGGAAAGGGAAAGTGTTGCAGTGGGGTGGAAAATGAAGTTAAAAATATGAAAAAGAGAGCAGTAAACTACTTTTTCTTGGTAAAGGAGAGGACAGATGTTTAGGAATGTATCATGACTTTGTAGTATAGGGAGTCGAGTGCGGTGCAAGACTTTCTCCACCAGCATTCTGCTGTACAGAAACATCATTGTAGACAGCAGGTTAGCTTACAATGCCAGAGTTGTAGGGTGGCTGGTGCTTAGAGAGAGCTTTAATTGATGTAGTAAATATGACAGAATTGTACAATGAAGTACCTTGAGAGGGGCAGTAGAAAGTGATGACTGGAGATAAGAGTATACTTGATGTGATCTAGCATACTTTGATTCCTGATGACCAAAATTATGCTAAATTTGAGATGGTGAAGAGCACATTGACAGAAAGTTAAAATGTAGTAATCAGACAGAGGGAAAACTATCTTATCTTAGACAAGCTGGAAAAAAAAAAGTCAAATGTATTATTAGTCCATTGAGTAAGACCAAATTTAGAAGCTATTGAGTTGCTGGAAACTGTGCTGATGTCGATCAGTTAATATTCTGTAAAGTGTAGAACAGAAATACAGATACAAATGACAGGGCTTAAAAACGTAGTTGGTAGAATATTTTCTACTTTCAACTAAATATACTGAAAAACTGGGAGTAAAGAATGAGATTTTTTTTTTTTTAAGACGTGGATATTATTATGCTAAGCCATTGTTGACTTTAATGACAATAAGTTGTGCTATGTGATGATAGAAATGACACAATAAACTCTCCAGTTGCCTTTTCATGTTTACTGTAATAATGTACACAGTGATTCTAATTTAACTTTGAAAAGCTGCTTTCATGGTTGTTTACTGAATAACATTTAAATACAATCAATATATGTCCTTGAAATTACTGCTTAGTGACTGTTCAGTGAATAATTTATAGTAAAGATTATGATGATTTAACAAATTCTGGTTGTTTTTTTTTTCAGTATTATATTAACCTCTCTTTAGTTGGAAATACATTGCGCATGAGCCATGGACAACTGAAAAAGAGTTACATAGTAAGCATAGTTAGTGATAGTCCTGAGTCTATTAGGACAGTCCCAATTTTCTTTTGGACCTTATTCCTTTTTTTTCCTCCAGGGTGCACAGTGCTTCTGCACTTGTGCTGCACAATGCTTTTCCCAGTAAATGCTCCACACATGGTCTTCCGCATTGCTTTGGTCATGGGCAACTGGGGTTGGCTGCTCTACTGAGCTGCCCATCAACCTGCCTTTACTGTATGCTCATTACCATCATCACCACCTGTGATCTGTGTGTTGATTGAGTAACTTGTATACGCAGCAGTACAGTAGTAGTCAGTAGTAGAGATGTATACACCTATTGTTTCACTGCTTGGTCACCTCTACTATTGACAATTAGCTTTTATATTGCAAAATAGGGTACTGAGATTTGAAATGCTTTAAACGCAGAGCCAACACATGCTAAAATCATGATAGATTTATGTTCAAATATAAATGTATAAGCTTACTGAAAAATTTGGACTGATAGTATTGTTTGTTTATATAGGCCAACTCCCCAGTGTTGTGACCGGAATATACTATAAACTAAAACCCCATTATTTTTACCTAGCTTAGGTGTTTAAAAAAAATATTTAAGAATTTTTAGATTTAAAATTCCTGCTTTGTGAATGAGTGCGCTGGATTTCAAATATATTATTATATTTACCTTCCAATAGTTTTCTGCATTTTCACAACACTTCTTTATCATCTTCCCAGGCCATCCTGTCATTGTGGAGCAGATGTGCTCTGCGATTAGAAACTCTTCTCTATGGGCAGGAATGTCACCAGTGATGATACAAGTACCACACCAGCTCTGTCCCACCTACCCTGGTCTCTATACCCTTGCCAGATATGTTCATCCAATATTGAAGAATACAAACACCAAATCAAACATCTGCTTTTCTGGTATAGTTAATACAAATTGTCAGACTCGATTCCTGCACGTCCTGTAGAGTAAACTCCAACAAGGATTTCTTCCTGCAGTTCAATCTCTGATATGTTATTACAGGCCTCCAATCCCATTCCAATTAAGCAGGAACAGTAGCGATATTCCTGCTCTGTTGTTACTTTTGGGGACACAAGGAAACTATCCCAAACAAGAATAGTATGAGTCCATCATTAGATGTGCTTCCCATATGTTCTAAGTACTCAGTCCCTGCAGTCAGCACTGAAACAGTGTTCCTTATAGAGCATGCCCTCAGTGAGCCAGCCTGCTTGATTGGCAGGCAGCCTGTGTACATTCACACCAGACTGGCTCCTCACTTCTACAGGTGGACCCGCTCCCTTTTCAGATAGGTCTGCCACTGTAGGTGGAGTCATTGATGCAAATTAATAACCCACCCTCTTTTCACCCCTCCCACCAAAGTGGGATGCCAGAGTTGGGAGGTATGTAATTCCTGTGTATTCAAATACAAGCACAAGTAGAAGGACCACTGCTCTCCAAGATCTCTATCCAATTCAATACACCCATCAGTACTTTCCATTAGCCTCTGATCCATTAAAATATCCCCATCATTCGAAAGCAGAACTTTTAAAAAAAAAAAAAACCTAATGCAATTGCATTATTATTGTCTTGCTTGAGATAAACATGTTACAGGAAAAAGGGTGAATGAGGAGCTTTTAAAAGGGCACTGCAGCAAAGAGTATGACTATAGAGCTTGGATAGTGAGTGCACTGCCATAGTGCTGGAGGTTGAGGTGCTATGATAAATACTTTTTCACAAGGGGGGAGGGGATATGTGATGAGGCAAAATATATACATTGCCGCAGGGAGAATGAGTGATGAGCCATAATTAATAGATTCTCTATGGGATGGTGAGTAAGGAGCTGCAATACACATGTTGCATGAGGGAGCAATAATAAACATTTTACACCACTGAAACATGACTGAGAGCCAGGATAAATACCAGTATGTTTCCACTGCAGCTTCAACATTTCTGCTTCTCATATAAATCACCCAACCATGAGACTTGCTATGTTTATTTCCTGTATAAAGAACCCATGACTAGGATCTCAATCTATAGAACCTCTTTAATAATAATCATACACAAATAGTTTTATTAAATAGGTTCAAAAGAATATGATCCTACTCATTGATCCCTATATAGGAAGTGGACATGTGCAGCTCCTGTATAGTGAAACCCAAGCAGGAAGACCTCCACCTTCTATTATTTTATAGAGTCATGCAAATATTGATGCATGGAAAATATATGCAAGAACTTGCATAATACAAAAATGTTTCTTTCCAAGTTAAAATCATTCTTGGAGTATGAAGGAATGTAAGAAAAGAAAAACGTAAGTAGTCATGTGTATACAAGTTTTTGGTAATGAATGGTTAAATATGCTGGCACAGTGGGGCATGGCTAACTGCTGAGCAGGATGGCTGCATAGTTCCTTGCTCTGGCACATGAGCTCATCCGCTGCAATCGTAGCATCCAGAACCACTATACAACCAACAAACACCAAATATGTCTCACCACAAAGGCAGAAAACAAGCTGGGAGGGCTGAAAAGCTGAATTTCTTCGACCAGAAAAACAACCCTGGAGCACGGGCCTCGCAGGCTGAAATTCAAGATGGTGACGGTGGCTCAGAAAACGGGCACCAATATGCTAGACGTGGATGACTCCTTGGCCGCTGAATCGGTGACTGAACCAGTGACTCAAACCTACCTGACACAAGCCCTAGAAGTGTTATCCAGCAAATTGATTTCAAGCTGGCAATCCTCGTTCAACACCCTGAGGCACAATATACAGGAGTTGGGGTCCAGAACATCCCACATGGAAAGCAAACTAGACGAATTTGCCACGGCACACAATGATCTGGTGACCCAGGTGGAAGAGATAGAGCAATAAATAGTCCAGATACAAGCTAAACTCAGTAGGAAGTAGAAAATACCCCTACCAATTTCATGCTTCCTCCCCAACGAAGGCAAAAGGAACGTCTATACTGATTAGCAGACATGTGGCGTTCACACCCCACTCACATGCACTAGATAGGGAGGGCAGATATGCAATGGTCATAGGCACGTTTAACGGAATACTGTACACTATCGTCAACATTTATGCACCCAAATCTGAGCAAAGAAACTTCCTTCACAAAATCCTCACCACAACAGTAGAAAAACAACAGGGCATTACGATAATATGCGGAGACTTCAATCATGTCTTAGTCCCATCTATGGATACATAGGCGTGAGCAGCCTATTGTATAAGGGTGTGCACCCTAAAGCAGAAACACACACGCCACGTATATATATATATATTTATATATATATATGTATATATATATGTACATATATACATACACACACACACACACACACACACACTGCTGTGTGTGTGAGGGTGCTGTGTGTAGGTGCTGTGTGTGAAGGCGCTGTGTGTGTGTGTGGGTGCTGTGTGTGTGTGCGGGCACTGTGTGTGTGCGAGGGCTGTGTGTTTGTGAAGGTGCTGTGTGTGTAAGGGTGCTGTTAGTGTGTGAGGGTGATGTTAGTGTGTGTATGTGTAAGGGTGCTGTGTGTGTAAGGGTGCTGTTAGTGTGTGCTGTGTGTGTGTAAGGGTGATCTGTGTATGAGGGTGCTGTGTGTAAGGGTTCTGTTAGTGTGTGCTGTGTGTGTGTGTGAATGTGTGAGGGTGCTGTGTGTGTAAGGGTGTTGTTAGTGTGAGGGTGCTGTTAGTGTGTGTGGGTAAGGGTGTTGTTAGTGTGTGCTGTGTGTGTAAGGGTGCTGTGTGTAAGGGTGCTGTTAGTGTGTGTATGTGTAAGGGTGCTGTGTGTGTAAGCGGGCTGTGTGTGTAAGGGTGCTGTAAGTGTGAGCTGTGTGTGTGTATGTGTGAGGGTGCTGTGTGTGTAAGGGTGTTGTTAGTGTGAGGGTGCTGTTAGTGTGTGTGTTTGTGCTGTGTGTGTAAGGGTGATGTATGTGTGTGTTCTGTATGTTTGTGTGTAATATGTGGGGGCCGTTTAGTTAATATCCCCCCTCCCTTCTTACCTTATTTAGGGTGGGGGGACCATGCTCCTGACTTCCCTGGTGTTCCAATGGAGAGTGAACTCTAGCCCCCTGTGAGGCTAGAGTTCACTCTCGCGAGATCTGAGCGCGTGAGAGGAACGCCAGCAGCTCCACCGGGTTCCTCTCACGCGCTCAGATCTCGCGAGAGTGAACTCTAGCCTCACAGGTCCTCTCCTGCCTCCCTCCCTGCTGGCCAACGGAGGGAGGCACATAGCGCATGCCGCGGGGATGCCCACACCTATGTATGGATACTACTCTCCCTGCACACAGTCCCAGACTTAGACCCTTAAAAAGACAATGCAAGGCAATACATAAATTGCTTCACGCATACCATCTATATGACGCGTGGAGACTACTACACACTAGCAAAAAAGCCTTTACGTTCCACTCCTTAGTGCATAATTCATACTTGCGTTTAGATGGCTTCCTTCTAAAGGGTCAGGCGTTAGACCAAATGACTCAATGTGAAATTGGGGGGATATCCTGGCCCGATCACACCCCGGTGACTCTAACACTTAAGGATGCCTATGATCCTACCCACCGCAGCCCATGGAGATTGAATGAGTTTCTCCTGAAAGACACCTCATTCACAAAAGACAGACACACAGATGAGACTGTTCTTCTTGGAGAATAGTCCTGACGAGACCACCCAGGCGAACATCTGCCAAACACACAAAGCAGTCATCCGTGGCTTACTGATAAGGAGGGACTCATACCTTCGTAAAAGATCACAAACACAATTAGTGGGCTGGCAAAAAGACCTCCAGAACTTAACCAGGCAGAACCAAGTGACCCCATCCACCACCCTGCAGGCCAAAATTCAACATATAACTAGGCAAGTTAACCAACAGGCCCTAGAAAAGATGGGATATAAATTACATAAACTTAAAGCATCACACTATGACCAGGGCAACAAAGCAGGCAAGATGTTAGCAAATAGACTACGAAACCAGCAAGCCAGCCAAAAAATCGTCCACCTAATATCCAAGGAGGGGAAAAAAATTATAACTCCGAAAGACATCAGCAACAAATTTGCCAAGTACTATGCCTCGCAGAAGGAAGGCTTAATAATGTCCCTTGGTGCAGAAAAAGCCTTTGACCGCTTGCACTGGGGCTTCATGGAAGGGGTCCTGAACAAATTTAACATCCCAGGGAGATTTAGGTCGGCAGTCAGGGCCCTGTACTCTGCACCCTCAGTGAAGGTGTTAAATGCTGGCTTCTTATCAGACCCTTTCCCCATTACGAATGGATCTAGATCGGGGTGCCCACTATCGCCTTTGCTCTATGTCATGGCGCTAGAGCTGCTGGCGCTTCAAATTAGACAACACGACCGAATACACGGAGTGACGATAGGGCACAAACAACACAAGGCCAACCTTTTTGCGGATGACATACTCCTTACCCTGACAGACCCACACACGCACTTGCTAACACTGATCACCACATATGGGAGACATTCATATTATAAGTTGAACGTAACCAAGACCCAAACCATGTACCTGGGGAGGGACTCGACACAGTTAGAGAGGATGCAAAAAACATACCCCTTTGACTGGAGGGAAGACTACCTAACCTTCCTAGGCATAAAATTAACTAAAAAGCTGACCTCGCTGTATAAATACAACTATGAACCACTTATACAGAGTTTTACCTCCACTATGCAGAAATGGGAGGGCTGCTTCTTATCATGGATGGGAAGGATAACAGCAGTGAAAATGATATTGATCCCGAAGTTCCATTACCTTTTGCGAACACTACCCATACCCCTCCCAAACACATACCTCACTAAGCTACAGAGAACTCTGGTCCGATTCGTTTGGAACAAGAGCAAACCCAGAGTAGCCAACACAATACTAATCAAACCCAAGCAAAAGGGAGGATTGGGTCTCCGGGACGTAAAGTCCTATTACAAAGCGGCGATAATAGCCGCAATGGTACCAATGCAAACCCAGACACACAGACCACAATGGACAGACATAGAAGCACACTGGGCGGGACAGAGGAGCCTTGAACATTCTGTCTGGGTCCCAAGGGCACAGAGACGCTGGGCTGCCACAACCCTCTCCACAACACATCTCATCTTTCAGGTATGGGACGCGGCGAGGGGCTCGCTGTGCATGGTCGGACCAATATCCCTAGCCACACCGCTACAGAGCGTGGGCGTCCAAGTACCAACCTTAGACTATAGATCATGGGTCGAGCAGGGATGCACATGCTTGTACCAGCTCCTCCGTGGAAACAAAATTATCCCCTTTCTGGACCTGCAGACCAGGTTCAACTTGCCGAGTAAACTACCGTTCCCATACCTCCAACTAAAGTCGTACATATTAGAAAACTGTAAAGCTGACACTGGATCCACACAGCTGACACAATTCGAAAAGCTATGCATAGCCCTTACCCCTCCGAGGAAAGTACGCTCTACCACTTACACAGCGTTGCTAGATGCGCACCCACTAGAGACCAGGTCATACAGGGAAGCATGGCACAAGGAGCTGGGATATACAATCCCGGACGACCAATGGGATAAAGCACATATGGCACATAGCGGTAACACAACATGCGCAACGCACTTTGAGGTGATGAGAAAACTTATGTACAGATGGTACTACGTGTGGCAAAACCGACCTCGCCACTGGACATTGGAGAAGACTGATTGCCAGCATCCTGCCCTGTGACTATGGCCCCATGTTGAAATGCTGGATTTTCCACTGTAAATACCCGAAAGCCGGGTCATTCGGTACTTTCCCTATGTGAGCTATGCCATGGAGCCCATTCGTATAATGAAAGACTATGTGAAAGACTTTGGCTCCATGGCAATTGAACTGTATGTATGTGATCTGAGCTCCATTCAGTAATAATTTGCGCTCAGATCTAAGCTATCTAGGGATATGTTGTATGTACCCGTTTTATGCAATAGCTGCACAGTTATATATTTTTATGTATTTTATTGTATTTTGCTACCATGTGGCTAATGGAGTTTTGCCTCTGTCCTTGGAGATAATTGGATTACTTCCCAATTATCTCCAGGATAGAAGACTCTGTGGAACTGGTTTTGGGCAGAAAAACCATGCTTCATTTGGTCAAATAGGACTTTCCCTTAACTTTTTAACCCCTGAACTGATTGCCCTGATTTTTGAATATGTGTATATTTCAAGCATGTGGATTCTGAATATGTAATATTTATGAAGAGTGGACGTATATTTTTAAAGTTATAGCACATGTATAAAAACTGTATTTTTCCTGCTTGTGATAATTATGTTAACCCATTGTGTACCATAATTATATCACAGGCAGAGGGGAGGATTTTGTGTATAATTGCTGGGAGTGTTTCCTGTAATGTACGTGTGTTTTTGGTTGTTCTTTAAAACCCTGTGGGCAGTACTAAGTTTGTGGATTGGGAATAAAAGAGGCTGTATGTGCCAGTACAGTCAGTTCTGCTTGACCTCAAAACGAAGTGTCGTCTCGTTATTGGGGGAATTGGATTGTATGCCGATTGCCAGGAGTGTAAGCTGATTGTATGCTTTTCCTGTTCAGCTGCTTACAGCATTCATATGGTTGTGGTGTCTGCTGCAGTGCTTGGAGTCCTCAGGAAGCGTTAGGAGCATCCTTCAATGGAGGTACCCAGTCAGGATGCCAGGTGATCCGTTACACTACGTACCTGATAGACTTGCCCGCATATATGCAAATGTATCCAATAAATGTTGGAGATGCGGGGAGGGAGTGGGTACAATGTTACATGTCTGGTGGTCTTGTCCGAGCCTCCAGGACTTCTGGAAAACGGTCACAAAGGAGGTATCAAATGTTACCCAAACAGAGCAGCGTTGTATCCCCGACCACTGTATTTTGTTT